ATGAATGGAATGATTTGTTCTAATGGTGTTTGTAAATAGGATCACAAGTCCGCATCTTGTACAGCAATTAACCACTAAGAAGAATATATGCAGTGCATTATTTGTTGAAACTGTACATCCGATTTGATTTGAAACTGTCTCATTGCTATATGTTTATCAATAAAACTGTAGAAATAAAAAAACAAAACAAAACAAAAAAAATAATAATATAAAACTTAAGAATTAAGGATCATTACACAATGAGAAGCGAACCGAACATTTGTATTTGACATAATCACTAAAAGAGACACATACCTGAGCACAGCTAAACATTAAATGTAGACAACTATATTATTTTCAAATGATATGAAGAAATACTTTTCTTCCTCCTGCTTTTAGTAATAATGTGAGACTAATAATAGAAGTGACAAGTTACTCTGCGTTCACTATGTGCAAGACAATTGTTCCAGGGCCAAGGATAGGAGTAGTGGAAGGTTTCAGGATGATCTGAAGGCGTGTACAACCTAGATCCACTGCATGTACAGTTTGCAGTAAGGATTATTCTCCTATGAGAATCTAATGTTGGTGATCTGAACTTGGGTGGTGATGAAATCTATCATGGTAATGTGAGCTGGGCAGCAACTATAAATACGGGTAACAACACTCTTGAAATCCAACAATGACCCTGGGACATGGGCATCACTATTTTGCAGGGGAAGAAACTTGTTCAAAGAAGAAAATGACCACGATTTTGTTCAAGACTTTGTTACTTAGTGACTACCTAACTGGGTGTGTGGGGGGTGGTGGTGGAAGGGATAAGACAGATACAAATGAAAAGTGAACTAATACAAGAAAGGCTTGCTAGCCAGGTTATATGAGCTTCAAAAACTACTAGTCTGCCAAAAGGCCCTAAGATGTTCTTATTCCCCGCCCCCTATTTCCCTAACGCCTTCATTTATCAACAGGTGGCTTGAATCAGATGATACTCAGCAATGCTGGGTGAAGCAGGCTGCACATGTACGCCCGCATACTTACAGAGCTGCAGGCTGTACCTGCAGTGTGCAGAGGAGTTCTTCTGATTTTGCTCTCTGTCTTCCAGGCATCTGGACAAACGGTGAGCAAGTAGTGGAGGATCAGAGGGTCACCTTCTCGACTGGCAATGTGGAAACTATTCCAGCCATCTTTGTTCTTAAGGAGTGGATTGGCACCATGTTCCACAAGGTCTTGGATCACCTCGAGGTTCTTTCTTGTGCAAGCCATCATCAGAGGAGTCCTAAAGCCAACCAGACAAGCTGTCAGATGCAAGATAGCTGACATGAGAAGCAAGGGGCCTGGTCTTCAGGAAATGCACATCCTTGACAGATGGAAAACCTAGAGAACTGAGGTATCTGGGAGCAGGAAAACAGCTTTAGCAACTTCTTGTCTTGATATGAGGACCCTGGCAAGAATAACAAGGGGAGCTTTTCTTCTTCCGGTTCCAGGTGTTTGGCAGTGCAGTTATGGCCAAGTCCAAGAACCACACCATGCACAACAGTCCTGAAAACTGTACAGAAATGGCATTAAGAAACCTTGGTCACAAAGATAGGAATCTCTGAAAGGGGTAGATCCCAAGTTCCTAGAAGATGCAACCAAACAATGCGAAGGCCATGAGTACACATGCCAAGGCTATCAAGGCCCTTGTCAAACCCAAGGAGGTCAAGCCCAAGATCATCCCAAAGGGAGTAAACCACAGGCTTGCTTGACTTGCCTATATTGCCCACCCCAAGCTTGGGAAGCATATCTGTGCCTGCATTGCCAAGGGTCGCAGGCCTTGCCGGCCAAAGGCCCACGCTCCAGCCAAGGCCCAGGCTCCCAAAGGTGTCCAGGCTGTGAAGACTCCACAGTAAAAGCCTCTTCTTATCTGCTGATGCAAACACAGGAGTGGTGTGACCCCTGGTGTGCCATCTGTGGGGGGCTGGTGTCCTCTTGCACTCTGTACAAATAAACGTGAGGCAGGATTAAAAAGGAAAGAAAAAGAATAACAAGGGCAAAAATAACAGTACACCTTCCGGAGATAGTTACTGGGGGCAAAAATCAGTGACCAGTATAAGCCTGGTTAGGAGTGAACTAGGACAGAGCTAATAAAAACCATCAACAATCCTCAAGTCTACCTTTTTATCACAGTAGGGAAGATATATTTAACTATATGGAATCCAGGGTCACCGGCATGTTAGGCTTAATGTACACTGTGCTACACGCCCAGCCCTCTTACAGCAGAGCAGGACTCACTTGAAGGCAGGCACTTCGTTACACTATAAACTTTAATATGTTCACAACTTCTAAGGAACCTGACATAGTACTAAAAAGATGTCAATCTAATAAAATGGGCTTGTTTTGTATGATGACAGAGCACCTTAATTGCGGTGGGCATGTAAAATTACACACGGTAATAGCATACGGTGCTCTACACACAGTACAAGTGCTAACTTACACAAATCCAAGGAAGCGGATTGTAGCATTGTCAATAAAAATGTAACTGATGTAGGCACTCACATCCTTGAGCAAAATTTACTGATTATAGTCTGTGGGATTATATTTTCTTCTGTCTCACAAAGGCAAGTGATCACATCTACAGAAGAGTTAACCCCACAACTCCAGGAAGGCTGGGAGACGACGACCCTGCTGTTAAGAATTAGGCCTGAGCAAAGAATTAGGTGTTGAGAAAAGCTGTAGTGTTTGGGGAATGACCGACATAGTACACAAAAATATGATTCTGCGAAAAATAGGCAGGCTGAGTGTCTTTTATAATCTTCGCCACCTACCAATCGGCCTTCTTTAGACAGTCCACCGACGCCCCTCGAGCTAGCAGGTAGCACACGCAGTCCCGGTGTCCCATGGTGGCAGCCTCATGCAGAGGCCTCTTGTAGTCTCGATTGCCAGCCTCAATGTCCATGCCCCAGACTTCGATCAGATAAGCTAGGATATCCCTGCGTCCATGACGGGCGGCACAATGGAGCAGGGTGTCTCCTGCCAACTCCTGGCAGCCTCTGGTGGACTGCAGTTCCTCCTGCAGGGCGCAAAGCTGGCCTTCCTGCACCAGTCTGAAGAGGCGCCGGGAGTCCCCGGGTGATGCCATCACCGCGAGAGAGCGGGAGGCACCCGAGGGCCAGTCTTCAGAGGGGACTGGAGAGGTGTCGGGGGTAGTGTGTGTGTGTAAGTGTCCCAGTCGGTAGAGCGAAGCAAGCCGGTGGTGAGGCCTTCTGCTTCCTGCACGTGACCCTCCTCCTGGACGCCCCGCCCTGGCCCGGTTTGTTCCCCCCCTACGCCGCCGCTCCTGAGACAGTCACGCCCTTTGAACCCTGGCGGGCGAATCTCTAGTCCCTTGTGTGGGGTGCTGATTCTTCAAGGGGATGGGGCATCAGGTGGACAGCACACTTGTGGGTCGCTCGTGCTACCGCGCTCCAGGTGCGCGGAGTCCTCTGGGTGCAGCCTTCGGCTCCGAGAACCCGCGCAGCTCGGAGTACGTGCGTGTACGCGATATCCTGGACCGGCTCTCTGCACAGGGAGAAAACGTCAGAGAGGAGGGTGCCCTGCTGCCTTAATGTCCCGAAGGAAATGTCGGCCCCCCGGAGCGGGGGTAGCTCCATAGGCAGCTGGGCCCGAGGGTGGTTGCTCGCTGCTGCCAGAGCCTGCTGTTGGAGTGACCGCAGCGCTACGGCGCTCCAGGGCCTCCAGCTGCTCAGGCTGGACGCCGTCGAGGGCTTCTCGGGCACTGAGTGGCGTTCTCTTGCTCCACCCCGTCCTCACCGAAAGGCAGCCGCGCCTGCCCCTCCCCGCTGCTGCTGTTCAGCCCCCTTTGGGGACCCGGGCAGCTAGCTGGAAGGAACTCTGGGAAAGTTTTCCCTTGTCTCCTCCGCGCGAGCAGGAGCGAGCGGGGGCGTGGCTCGTCAGCAGTAGCCGGGCCCCTTCCAGGAGCGCGCTCCGATTGGTCCTAGAGGCTGTCCGTCAGCAGGTCCCTTCCGGTTGCGCGTCTCTATTGGGTTCGGTGGCAGTCCGTCAGCGCCAGCGGCGGGTTCTTCCCTGGGTGACGGCCGGGCGGAGCTCTCAGAGGAAGTAGGTTGCTGTCTCTGCTCGCTGTCGGGGCGGGAGGAGGAGCTTGCACCCGGGAACGTTTTGCTGGGCGGCTAGCTGTGCAGGACTGCAGGCTGCAACAGCTACGGGATCCCGCGTTCGGAGCGCCATAGTGCGTGAGACCGTAGGCATGGCGGGGAATGTGGGCGGGTCTCCGCGAGGTGGCAAACTTGCGGTTCCGAGCTTCTCTTGGGGTCCCAGCCTCAAGGCTGCGGCCCGGGCCCGTGTGGGTGTGGGGCTTGGCCGCGGTGGGGAGTGCATTGGGAAGGCCCTGGCGCAGGTAATCTCCAGCGAACTTGGGCCCCCTCGCTGCTCCCTGTGGCACAGGACCTGGCGGAGCATTTCGCTGTTTCTTGGGGGCTGGTAAAAGTGTCTAGGGAGACGCGGCCCCTTGGCCACTAGGCTTTTCCACTCTAATGTTTTGACCTTGGACAAGTCATTTTATGCTGTCCTGTTGTATACTTTTCATTGGTTGTCTTCCTCCCCCTTAATCCTGAATATAAGATTAAAGTGATGTGGGAAAGCATTGGGCTTTTGAAGGATTCTTTGAGATCTGAGCGAACAGAATATGGTGACGAAGAATTAATTGGGTTAGGTTTTGGTTTTGGTTTCCTTACCCGACTTTATGAGGAGCTGGTTAGTCATTTAACTTCTTGTTTAGCCTTTTTAATTCCTTTGGAAAAGAAGAGGGTGAGTTTACTATGTGATAGGCCTAGAAACAGCTACCCTTTACATTTCCCGTTGTACCCAAGTTCCTGAAGCACTTGACATAGAATTAGCTGACCCACAAACAGTCCTGCAAAGAAGGCATCATTCTAATTGCACAGTCGGAGAAATTAAGCCCTAACAGTTAACGAAGAACTCTGGGATAGAATTCTGACAGTAGTTCTGGCTGGACTGTTTTACTAATTAGAAGATTCTACTTGGTTAAGTTACTTAGTGCTGTATTCCCTGGAGACAGACCTAGGTTAATGTATCGAGTTGTAAACGTTTATTGCTTATCGTATCTTACCATTCCAGAGAAGGAAGGTGCAAAAGTTCTTTGAAATATACCATATTTTAGAACATGCCAAGCTGTGTTCTTTACTGTTGCTGTTGCGTACAGTGGGTAGTGGAAGTTATATTCTTTTCCTTCCATTCTAACTACTGATGACGCTGTTATTGCTTGCTTTATGCCTCCACTCCACCCCCTCTTTTTTTTTTTTTAAACAAAATTGAGCCACCTGGTGCATACTAGGATGGAATACATGAAATCCAGGACAGATAATTATTTAATTGGTGTTCTAGATCCTGCGTCTCTTGCCTGCTTTATGGATGCACTTAGGTTTATATCCTCCTTTAGATAACTAGGTAATGATAATAGTGTGAATGATAATATGTGTGAATCGGTCTCACAAGTCCTGTGGTGTTTCTAGAGCAAAGCCTTGCTCTGGAGGGTGTGGGATTATTCAGTAAAGTAATTGATGGAGCCCTTTCTGCGATGTCAGGTTTTTCTTTTTCTTTTTTTTTTTAACCAGTTGGGCTGCCCATTTCGTTTGTTCAGGGTTTTGAAGTTTGTGGTGTGGCCTTTATTAGTTCACTTCACGTGTAGTTGTCCTTGGCCTTGAGGTTTGATAGCTGGCTGTCTCTCCTGTTCTGGGAATGTAACATTTAGCTAGGACATTGGGATACTGATTATTTGACTTTTACTGATTTGCGAACAAAGAAACCTATTTTATATCAAATTCTAATTCCAGATGTGTTGCCATCTTCATTTTTTTCTGTCCATTGTATCCTTCCTAAGCTGGTTTTTATTTGGAAACTGAAATTAGATTCTATCCTTGCTTTTCTGGCTGTAAAAATAATTCCTAACTTCTAAAAATTTATCACTCACCAAAACATCCCAAATGTTCATAACTGGTGTTTCCTTTCATGGAAGGCCTCCCCTTCCATGAAAAAATGATTAAATCGGCTAGGTGTGGTAGCACATGTCTATTTCCAGCACTGGAGAGGCTGAGGCAGGAGGATCTGAAGTTTGATGCCAGCCCAGGTGACATAGTGAGTTCAAGACCATAGAGTTCATGGCAAAACCCCAACTCAACTCCCTTGAATGATTAAAATGAAAACACTTTTTTCTTTATTCTTTAAGGCTTGATGACATCATTCTTAATATTCTACTAGAAGTGTCAGTTATCTGTGCTGCTTTTTATCTTGTTAAAAAAAGGAACAGACCGGGGTGATAATGCAGAGGCATAAGTGTCTGCCTGGCCAAGTGCAGAGTCCTGAGTTTGATCCCTGGCACAAACAAAACAACAAAACAAGAGGAACAAACAAAAAGGCAGTTCTCTGATATTCATCTGTTCCCTTTGCCCAGTTTCTGCTGCTCTCCAGTCTTCACCACCTTTCACCTAGATTAGTATGGGACTTTCTCACTTATTTTCCTGACAGTCTCCATATTTATCTAAATTAACGTAATGACCCTGCTTAAAAACTGCATAATATCCTTCTACGTGACGAAGGCCAGTAGCACTGTGTTCAAGGACCTTCACGGTTTGTGGCTGCAAAGTCATTTCCACCCTTGTTTCCCATCATTTCCCATCAGTGAACCTCTGTTCTGTTGAAACCCACCTTCTCTACTGTGCCAATTTTACTCTGCTTCTGTAGTGTTTATG